TGATCATCACGTGCATCATATTAACAAACTGTTGCTTGGGTGAAGCAGGTAAAGCCTTGTAATTTATGCGCGCAATAAAAAGTAAGGTTTTGTAAATGAATACTCCCATGTTGCAGAAAATGTTCTAATCCGGGGCATCATTTTTAATGAGGGGGCATCGTGTAGCTAGTTTATGATCTTTGTTAATTACTCGGAAGAAGATGAAAAGAAAAACAAAAAAGCACGTTAATCAACTTTTTCATTTAAAAACGCATAACATGAATTACTAGAATAGCTGTTTCAGACATTATTCACTAGATGAAACGAATAAGTCTAGGCTCTATAGCCCATTAAATATTCGATTCACAAACACATATATCTATAGTTTTAAAATAACGCGATACCTGTAGTGTGGAGAAAAGCAACTCAATGCACTTAACAAGCCCCAAAACAAGATGTATCATTAAGATTTATTTGAAATAAACAACGTGATTATTGTGAGAAGGATTCTACCTTTTCAAGCTGGTGTTATACGTCTACTGCAAACACGATGACTTGTAATAGAGAGATAATTCATTTGCTCAAATTCTACTGTAAGCTGAAAGTTAAACATTCGATATTCTATAAACATTTATTATTACCCTCGTCCTAGGAGAGGGAACGAGGGTATTACAGTTGGATCCATATGTACGTATCTCGAAAAATATTAATCCGATTTACGTGAACATTTTACGAGATAAGGTGTCCCCATAAGACCGTCCTCCCCAAATCTGGTCCGGATCTTGAACCGGATCCGGATTCTATATCACTTTCAAACATTTTTTTATAGTGGAGATATAGGGCGTTTCCCAAATTTGTGTAAAAAGTGAACAGATTAGGATCGAATTTCAGGCGCACATTAAAACCAAAAATCCCAAAAAATTGGGGCGAGGATATGCAACCTCTCTGATTGCTCTTGTTCTTACCGTTATGAATCATATTCGAATCTGTAATATGCTAAATCTTTGATCACCATAGAAATAATTAAGTCTCAAATTGCGCAATTAAACCTATATAAGATTGGTGGACCTTTAGTTCTCGAAAAGCATGGATAACAGAGCACAAATTTACGAGGTTCGTTTTTTCTAGACACCACTTCCTGATGAGATTAATGATAATAAAAAAGGTGATGGCAAGGTCCCAATCCATCACTTGTTTTAGCCCAAACTGCCACTAGAAGATAAAGAACAACATTAGTAGCAAAACAATTATTTTATACAAACGAAAGAAAAAGCCATGTGAACCTGTATCCTAGCAAATCAAAGATAGTACTGATGAACGTACTACACACTGTAACCATCCACACGTTATGTTCACAAAAAAGAAACGCGACTCTGGCATATCATTCTCTACAGTTAGGCGAGGTTGTCATAAAAAGCATAGAAATAACAAATAAATGTGAATTTGCTTCTTATACTATACTGCGTTGGTGTTAAATGTGTATTATTACCAAATAGTAAAGCAGTTTTAGTTTGCCCTGTCATCTTGCGTTGTTTCGTAAATTCTAAAACTAGGCCTGGAGGAGGAGGTCGAAGAACCATTAGCGGTGCTGAATAGGCGAGGGAGTGAGCTGGAGGGAGAAAAAGCTTCAGGTACGAGGGTGGTGGAGGGGGAGAGGCCAACCTGTAATTTGTTCTTCGTGATTGAGGGAAGAAATAACAGAGTAACGCTGCGTAGGCACTTTCATGACGCCTTAGGCAAGAACGCTTTTTGCAAAGACCCTGCGACTGTTTTCCTCTCCTGCTAACCTTAACAGTACATACTAACAGCGAGCTTGAACTCTATCCAAACTTACAACTGGTTCTTGTACATTTATATGTATTGCACCTATAATGCACGGTTCCTAACACTTCCCCATATTCTCAATTATTTACTGATAACTTTTGGTCAAAGTAAGAAATCTATGTAAATCAGAACTGCAAAATATCTGATAACTTATTGAAACTAATTCTATGTCCTAAACTGACAAGAGATGCAAAATGTTATACAATATTTTTGTTTGTTTTTTTTATTTACTTTTCGCGCATATATTGAACTTCCGAGATGTTTTTCATAGCCTCGAATTTTGTTGTTCATAACTTGTAAATTCTAGACAACCAACCAAATTTCTGATTCATAAACAGATCATTCATTATTTTCCTATAAAGGCTGGCATTGCCTGGGGAATAAGGCGTTCGATTTGCATACTGAGGGTCGTGGGTTTGAATCTCCGTCACCACGCAAGCTTGTCCTTTAAGCCGTAGGGGCGTTATAATGTGATAGTCAATCCCATTATTCGTTGGTAAAAGAGTAGCCCAAGAATTGGCGGTGAATGATCTTGACTAGCTGCCTTCTCTCTAGTCTATCACTGCTAAATTAGGGATGGCTAGTGCAGATAGCTCTCGTGTAGCTTTGCTCAAAATTCAAAGAAACCATTTTCTTATAAATTTATAAAACAATCTTTTTAAAGGCGTTTTAAACTTATTTAGCAGAACTGTTGTTGCTCATAGTTCCTCTACTTTTGATAGCATGAAAATATAAATTATTAAACTTTTGCTTGGTTTTTAATGGATCTCTTTTAGTATAACTATTTTTGAAGTATGAGCTTATCACAGATTATTTGTATTTGCTAAAAATTTAGCAAACAAGCTAAGACAAAATAAATCAATATATATATAGCAAGCTTAACTTCCAGAAAGACCTGCCTAATTTTTTTCGATACCACAAAATATTCCTCACACATAAGTTGTGGGTGCGTTATAAGAGTGACATTCAATCTTTTTGCGTGAATAGTGGGTGGTAGGATGCTATTGACTGACTTTCTTCCCTTTCGTCAGTAGTTCCAAATTTGGAACGGTGAAAGCTAACCTTAGTAGCTTTGCAAAAATACAAATACAATACTATTATTTTCAAATAATGTACATTTATATTAAAAATAATAAACAACAAATATTATACCCGATAGTAGTAATTTGCTTTCTGGCTAATCCATGATTTTATTTACAAAACTTATTTTTGTAGATATTTTCTTAGCGTTGTAGCATCTACACGTACGTCCAAACATTACATTAACGGTTATAGCAAAGTCTGGACTAACTTCTTTTTAAATAGCAAAGAAAATGATATAACAATGTCCCATATTATATGAGCATCGTCAGCTATAACTAAAAGATGTTCTAACCACCAATTACTTGTAACGTGCGCACAAAAACAATTTTATGTTACATCGCACCCTTATTAATTGTGCTTAAACATAACATGAAACTAGATAAAATATATTGTGTGACTATTTCCAGAGATCATGTGAAACGTTCTCTATTAGACATGTTGTGTGTCAACATTTTAAGCATAATTCACGATAAAAACTTCAAGTACTTGTGTACTATTAGAAATGCCCAGTGTTTTTTTGGGTACTATTAGAAATGCTCGGTGTTTTAAGTTTGATGATTTAACGATGTTTCAAGATTTTCGTTTATCACTTTATATTTATATCATCGTTACAGTTGGACAATTAGAAATGCCCGGTGTTTTATTGTGTACTACTAGAAATGCTCGGGGTTTTAAGTTTGATGATTTATCGATGTTTCAAGATTTTCGTTTATCACTTTATATTTTATATCATAGTTATAATTAGACAATAATTAGTAGTGATGACTTACTAATTTTTCTTTAGTTTCATCAGTATTATTGAATATTATGCTTAAATTACTTTAAAATACACAAGCTTTGAACAGTCAAACTCAGAAGTTTTAAACACTTGATTGTGAAAGTCTTACAGGTTATACATTAATCTCATCCAGGCATAAAAATGTGATTGCCTTTTGCTACAAGTACTGTTTAAAAACCAAAAACTTACAGAAGTGTCTGCCGTTCATAAAAGTAAATTTTGCATTAACGCCTTGGATCATAGCCATTTATTTAATCGCGAATTGCCTGTTTTATCTGTCAGTCCTGTGTACTTTCCAAGCTATTAATGCATTAGTTTTATATGTAACATTTTTTCATCAACAAGCAAATCACTCATTTGTTCATTAGATGTTTAAAAACTTGAAATGTGTTTGGTTAGATCGCATAAAAAAAAATCTAGTTATTTAACGCTAATTCAAATGGGAATTTTCATTCAAGACCAGAAAAATAGAAAACCTATGAAGTAAAAGGCAATAATACTACAGAAGTATGATCAACCTGTCCATAGATGAGTCTTCTGCAGTTAATTAAAAAAAATAAACTAAGAAGCCGTTTTCATTCCCGGTTTTCACCTTGTTGCAATATCCCCATTTACCAAATCCGGGATAAAGTTATCTTGAGAAAAAAGTATCTTGTAAAGATTACAACATTGTTAAAATGTTGTAAACTTCCCTAAATTATCTAGTAAGAGTGAGATTAGTTCAAGCACCTTCATAAACTGGCATTTTTGGTAAACTGGATTAGTCTGAATCAAGGTAACATGATGTTATTCACTCATAAAGAATTCCCATGACACAGATTACATGAAGTAGTAGGTTCGTCAGAAGTGACGCACATCTAATGTGAGAAGCTGCGGTTCTGAAGCCTCACGAATCCCGGAAAAGTCCGATTACTTCAGAAGTTGAAAAATGGTCCTACTGAAACAGCTTACCAGTTCCGGAACTTGGGCCTTCTGGATCAACGGAATTCTTTATATATCATATGACCTAACTTATACTTGAACTCTAATTTCTAATTTTTCCATTTAAATTCCTGTTTATGCATTTAACTGATATACACAACGTGACATTAACTTATTTGTTAATAATACTTTGAATGTTTTATGTACATCATATTTAACACTAATTTGACTAAGTAGAACCGATAGTTAGTAAAACGTCTAAGGTATTTTCTGTTAATTCTATTGTAATTTAATATGCCAAAATAGGTGCCAGTAGAAGCACCGAATATATTATCACTTTACTTTGTAGTTTTTCTCAACTTTATGCATTGAAGTTTATGATATTATGATATTAAAGTTTTAATTTTTCACCTACCTGTGCACAAAGTCGATGTCCACAACAATGATAAAGTACTAATCTTCATTTTCCCCAATTTTTTAGTCCAATTATTTATCTTTCACACCAAGTCTCTTCGTCTCACAGAACTTAATAAAAAAATTTATCAGTATTTTTACTAGACACGATAATTAAAGAAGAAAAAAATGTATGCTTTGTCAAGACTCAGGCATCTACAATGCCCGATATTAGTACAACTGAACCTGAGCTTTAACCACGGGCTGTTGGATCTTACGTTGTTGTGCAAAAAGCAGTCTCATGTGATATCGACGTCCACTCCAGCTCTCCCACTGTGTTTCAAGCTCCGCCTGCTGAGCTTGTACGTAGTCTGTCTAACATTTTACATAGTGGTGATTGTATTGTAGCGCGTAAAGAACATAGTTCGGAAAATAAGACAATTAAATCAAAATCTTTTCAATTTAAGTGATAATTTATATCTTAATATACCAGAATAGTCTTTGGAGGTTTATACAAATATTTTTGTTTAATTAATGTGCAAATGATATAAAGCTATTTATTAACTGACAAAATATATTTAAATAATTAAATCAATCAACGATTTTCGTTATTCAAATTCGATGACGAGGAACCCACTTTGAGATTAATAATGGCTGGAGACGGCTTAAATGGGTAATGAAGAAAAACTTTAATATAAGTTTAACATGACAGCAAATGTACAACGTTTCGACAAGGTTTTGTTGGTACCTGATGATGACAAAACCTTGTCGAAACGTTGTACATTTGCTGTCATGTTAAACTTATATTAAAGTTTTTCTTCATTACCCATTTAAGCCGTCTCCAGCCATTATCAATCAACGATTTGTGTGGTCAAGTAAACTATCGTTATATAAAAATATGTATAGTTTTCATCATTGCTAATTCCGGGCGTTAATATTTCACGATTTTCCATCCGCTTGCTATTTTAAAGGCATGTCTGTATATAATTCTAGAAACAAAGTTAAACAGCTAACATGACCGAACACAGAATTTTACATTAATTCTACCAGATGAAGGAAATAGAACGGAACAACAGAATATGTTTCAAATTAGTTATGAAATGTCAAAGTTTTGTGGGAAGAGGAAAAATTCATTATAAAGCTAAAACAAGCTTGTAAGGGTTAAAAAAGGTGTTGAAAACGAGAATGTCAGAACTTACTGAAAAGGACTTATTTCATCTGTACCGATGACATTGATCACTGTTGTAACTAGAAGAATTAACTTTTAAAAATAATGAAAAATTATAATAACGAATGACCATTTAAGTGGATGAGCTAGCTGTGACTTCAATCTGGTTATACCAGTTTAAGTCTAACGTGGATGAGTTTGAGTTGTTCGAATCTGATAGTACCAGTTTAAATCTTGTGTGGATGAGATGCGAGTTTATTGAGTACGATCATACAAGTATAAGTCCAGAGTGGATCATATGGGGATTGTTTGAATATGATTATATTAGTTTCAGTCTTGTGTGGATGAGTTATGAGTTTTTTAACTGTGATGATAACAGTTTCATACTTGTGGAAGAGTTGTGGATTGTTTGAGTTAAAGTTTTCTTTGAAAATTTTTCAATAGTGAACTAACAGGAAGTACTATAAATTAACATGCATTTTAACTAATATACTGACGATTTAACTTAGTTCTTTTACAGATTCGTTTTTTTTACAATGATTATAATCAGCCATTGGAAACAATGATCTGAATAGTGTAATTACAACAATGAATGTGATAAGTTGGTTTTTACTGTACATATTGTAGTACTGTGTTGTATGCACACAAAATAGAAGCACCAACAAGGTAAATGGTGCGAGTAAGAGTTTCAAAGTAGTAATTTTTTTATACTAGTAGACATATTTTTATTAGGCCCGACATGGCCAGGTGGTTAGGGCACTTGACTCTCAATCTGAAAGTCGCGGGTTCGAATCCCCGTTCCACCAAACATGCTCGCCCTTTCAGGCGTGAGGGCATTATAATGTGACGATCAGTACCACTATTCGTTGGTAAAAGAGTATCCCAAGCGTTGGGGGTGGGTGGTGATGACTAGTTGCCTTCTCTCTAGTCTTTCACTGCCAAATTAGCATATTTTTATATACTAACATTACTTTTTTTTCTTCTTATCTTCAACATTACCAGATTGTTTGCGGGAGGAGAGGTGTTTAAGCGTCATTCACTATGCCCACTGTATGGATCGAACCCCGAATTTTAACATCATAATCCATCAAAATTGCCGCGACTAAACTGTCCCAGTAGGACGCTGCTGTAACAAATTAATTTTAAAACTTTAGATATGGCTATCACAACAGAGTTTGTGGTTTTACGAATTTTCTTAGTTCTTACAAGCTGCAAAAATAAAAACCTTTGTGTATGTACAATTGATATCTGCTTGGTATTATCCATAGTTACTCATCGAGTTCAATAAATACACATCTGCTTAATAATCTTAAAACAGCTTCCCCGCCATCTACATCTGGTTAGTTAACACAATGACATGTTCTACGGTTAACACATAAATATTGTGTACGGTTTAATGGGTGTTACCTTCAAAACTCATCAAAAAAGCGCACGTGAACTAACCATCTTATAGGTTACACCTTATTCAGCAAAGACTTATTTTTGCTCCAACTGTAATTAGGGCGGTTACCTAAAACTTTTCTGGCCTCTAAACATGCCG